TCGCACATTTCATTGTAATATTTTGCTTTGTCATTCCGAGCTACCTTTTGGAATCTTCTGTTCAGCTCTTTAGTATCTTGAATTCTTCCTTCTGCTTTGGCTTCTCTATGCTCCCATGCAATCTTCAGAGTTTCTTCTGACACCCATTTTGGTCTTTTCTTCCTCTTCTGTCTTTGTAATGACCTTTTGCATTCTTCCTGTATGATACATTTGACATCCTTCCACAACTCATCTGGTCTTCGCTCATTAATGTTCAAGGCCTTTTATCTAAAATGGTTAAAATAAGCTATTTTAGCTATCTAAAAGAATAAATATGGTGCAGATTAGGGCAAGGTTCAGATCTGTGGTTTGTAGATGCTGCTATGAGTAGTAGATCGCTCAGTAACTAACAACAACAATAAAAGGATTATGTGCGTGTGTACCTGATCCAAGCCATGATATTTTCACTATTTCCTATGCATCTGAAAGTTGGACAGTGAATCAGAAAGACCAAAGAAGAATCAACGCCTTTGAATTGTGTTGTTGATGAAGAGTGTTGAATGTATACCGTGGACTGACTAAAGAACGAACTTGGAGAAGCGCAACCAGAGTGCTCCTTAGAGGCAAGGATGGTGAAATGTCCTTTAACATACCCAAAGACGTATTTTTCAGGTGGAGCTAGTCCTTGGAAAGAGACACTGAAAGAGAGAAAGACTCTCAACTAGATGGGTTCACACAGTGACTACTATAGTGGGTGAGAGCATGGCAGAGAATGTGAGGATGGTCAGGCTAGGACAAAGTTCCAGTGCGTCTTCCATAGTGTTGCTATGAGTTGTAGTCTTCTTGATGACACCTAACAACAACAGTAGTGACAGGATTAATCCTAAACTATTTAGAAAATCCAGTTATTCTCCCTGCTCTGACAGTTCCAGATTAGATAAGTATCTATATTAATAATTCTCATACAGTATTTGTTTTGGTTACTCAAAAGGTAAGGAATTAGTTGCAATCTGCAAATATAGTTTTTAACACTAATTATCTAGTGAATGAAGCTCTAGTCGGTTAGTGAATAAAGTGTTACATTCTCAACCCAAAAGCAAACAGTTCAAACAGTTCAAATCCACCAGTTGCTCCTTGGGAGAAGGATGGCAATCTTTTCCCACATGATTGACAATCTCTGAAAACTCACTAGAGGGTCAGCCATGGCTTGGTTCCAACTCAATGGCAGTGAAAGAGAGAATATTTCTGTTCCTTTTTTAGTAAATTATTATTAAGAAAGTAGCCCTAATAGCACAGCCATTAAGGGCCCCACTTTAATAACTGAAAGACTAGTGGTTCCAACACAGGCAGTAGCACATTGGGAAAAAGATCTGGCAAGAGGCTCCTTGTGGATTATAGCCAAGCAAACCATATAAGATCTACTAGAGCCTGGGTAGTCAAAATAGCCTGGTACTCATACAACAGGCACATAGACCAATGTAACAGCATTGAAAACACAAACATAAATAGCCTATGGACAGCTACTGATCTTTAACAATGGACTAGCATTCATTAAGTGGAAGAGATAGTCTCTTTAAGAATTAGTGCACTCCACTGGGAATATGCCTTAAAGAAACCATAACTGCCACCCAGGCAAATATATGCACACCCATGTTTATCGCGGCTTTGTTCACAATAGCAAAGAGTTGGAACACACAAACGAATGGACAGAGAAGCTGTGGTATATTCACATAATGGAATACTATGCTGCATTGAAAAACAAGGAACTCATGCAATATTATTCAAAATGGGTGACCCTGGAGGACATTATTCTGAGTGAAATATCTCAGTCACAAAAGGACAAGTACTGTATAGTGCCACTGGTATAGAATGGACTGACCTCAGGGTTGGGTGAGACTGAGAAAAGTGGATAAATTATGTATACTGCATTGAAACAGATGAGGGAGAGAACAGTTTAAAAGCAATATATGATTGGGTGTTATGGTTATGACAGAATGAAGGTTGCATAGTGGAGTGTACTTCGGGTGGGTGGATTGTACTATTAATATAATGTTCTGATACTACTCATAACTTATTCACTGAGTAATTTTGTTAAATAATTCTAGGAATCTAAGTGGTGCTCTGGTGCTCAGTGGTTAAAGCTTGACTGCTAACCTCAAAGTTAGTTATTAGAACCCACAAGCTGGTCTACATGAGAAAGATGTGGCAATCTGCTTCTTTAAAGGTTTGCTGTGTTGCTGTCCAGTTGAGTACCACACATAGTGGCTCTATGAACAATAGATCTGAACCTTGTCCAATCAACCCTGTTCCATCCTAACCATCTCAGACATAATTAAACCCTTTACAGCAAGTCACTGTGTTCATCATTCTGGTTAAGGATCTTCCTCTCCTTTCTTGACCCTCCACCATCCTAAGCATGATATCCTTCTCCAAGGATTAACCTCTCCTAGTAATATGCCCAAAGTCTGTGAGACAAAGCATCACCATTTTTGCCTCCAAGGAGCACTCTGGCTGCACCTTTTCCAAGACTGTTTGTTCTTTTGGCTATCCATGGGATATCCAGTCCTCTAACATCACAGCTCAAGAGCATCAATTCTTCTATCATGTTTATTCACTGCCCAGCTCTCAGATGCATAGCAAGTGATCATGGCCTGAATCAAGTGCACCATGGGCTTCAAGCTGACATCATGCTCCTCAGTAATTTGAAGAAGTTCCTGCCAGTACACTTTCCCAATGCAGTATATCTCCTGGCTATTGGTACCAAGGGTGTTGATTGTGGCTCCAAGGAAGAGGAAATCATTGACAATTTCTGGCTCTTCTCCATCTATCAAGAGGTTGCCAGTGGTCAAGATTTTTGTTTTCTTGATGTTAAGATGTAATCCATATTGAAGGTTGTATTCTTTGATCTTCTGCAGCAATCTTTTACAGTCTTAGAAACACTATGAAGCTGTTCTAGTCTGTCCTAAGGAGTCAGAAAACAGGTCTATGGCAGTAGTTCAGCTTTGATTTTGATAGGTAGGTTATTGTTGTTGTTGTTAAGTGCCATCGAGTGGTAGGCAACTCATAGTGACCCTATGAAGGAAAGTCCTCAGCACTTATGTGACTTTCATCCTTTCTCCAGATTCATAGGGTTTCAGGAGGCAAGCTATGTTAGGTAGGTGCGTAAGGGCGTTTTTTGTGGTTTGTTTGTTGTTGTTGTTGTTTTAAAGATAATGATTTTCTATGCATCAGAGTCCAAGGAGGAGTCCTAGTAGTAGCACTGCTATTGACACTTGACTGCCAATCAAAATTTGGCTGCTCGGTCCCCGCCCCCCTCCCCTCTCTGTCTTCTCTGCACTAGGAGCAGCTCTGCTGCCACAGCCCCTCATCCCCTGAAAATGTATACCTGCACCCAGTTTGTCTCTACCCCTTCCCTGGTCAGGAGTGCCCCTCAGCTGCTGAGCCATCCATTGTCTGCAGTGGTCCTGAAACAACCAAAGACACTGAAAGATGAGAATTTCACCTGCTTGCCAGCCCCACGTTCCTTGATTTAATTTGTCCCTAGTCGCAACTTCCAAACCAGGACTGTCTCAAGGGATATTGACACAGCAGCCAAGTTCATTGGGGCTGGGGCTGCCACGGTTGGAGTGGCTGGCTCTGGAGCTGGGATGGGGACTGTGTTTGGGAGCCTCATCATTGGTTATGCCAAGAATCCTTCTCTGAAGCAGCAGCTCTTCTCCTATGCCATTCTGGGCTTTGCCCTCTCAGAGGCCATGGGGCTCTTTTGACTGATGGTGGCCTTTCTGATCCTCTTCGCCATGTGAAGGAGCCATCTCCACCTCTCATAGTTTGTTGGTTTTCTCTCCCCATGTCTTGTCTACCCTATGTGTTCCTTTCCCTGTAACTCCCCAGGCAGCCTGGGGAAAGTGATTGGCTCAGGGTTTGACTGAAGAAAGGTAAATAAATACTGTTAATAAGATAAAAAAAATAAAAATAAAAATTTGGCTGCTCAAACCCACCCAATGTCTTTTCAGGAGAAATATTTAATGCTATACTTCTGAAAAGATCACATCCTTAAAAACCCCAATGAGGCAGTTGTGATATTCAGATTTTTTGAGGTGAAAATTCACTTAATGGTGTCCAACAATAACATTATCCATTAAGAAAAACCCAAAAAGCTTCTGCGAAAGGAGGGACAATCTTCTCCTGTACCAGTCAGATCTGATTTGATCACACACACACATACACACAAAAGAAAAAAATTAAAAAACCTGAAAAAGTATGAACAAGTTTTTACCTGTCAGAACTTTTACATATCTCTCTCTCCTTCCAAACTCATAGCCAAACTTTATTATTTCCTTAATCCACTGAACTCTTTGGAAATAATCACTTTAAGAGCAATCATCTGCAAAATCTGGTGGATACTTTGTAGTGCTGTTATTATTCCTGTCAGGTGCTATGGAGTTGGTTTGACTCAAACCCACCCTATTACAACAGGATGAAATCCTGCTTGATCCTATGTCATTCTCATAGTCTCTGCTCTGTTTATGCCCATAGTTGTAGTCATTGTGTCAATTCATTGCATTAAAGGCTTACCTCTCTTACACCGACTGTCTGCTTTTTTAAGCATGTTTTTGTTCTTCTGGAGACTGACACCGGCTGACAATATGTTGAAGTATGTGACACAAAGTCTCATCATCTTTATCTCTAAGGAATACTCTGGCTGCACTTACTCCAACACAAATTCGTCCATTCTTTTGGCAGTCCATGGTATATTCAGTAATCTTTGCCAACACCAACCAGACTTACTTATTTGAACTACTATCTTTCTTTTCAGTATTTTCCTCTACCGGTTTTCCTTAAACTGCTTGAGTGTTAGGTATTTATCAGTTGTCTTCATTGCCTTTACTTTCTCTGACATTTCTCTAAAGTTCTTTCATTAGGTGATACAAACTAATTGCAATCATATGGTGTGTACCATTTTATGTCTTGAGTACCTCACTTAGAGTAATGCTTTTGAGTTTTGGGCAAATTAGTGTGTGGAGAGAGACAGAGACAGAGAGAGATTGAGAGAGAGAGAGAGAAATTGGGACAATGGGATTAGGTGTGTTGGAGTTAGTGAGACTGGCTCAGGACTAGGAAGGGTTCAGAGCTGCTATACATAGAGTCCTTATGGGTAGTAGATGACTCGATGCCACATAACAACAACAACAAATTATATTGGTTGTTTTTTTTTTATTTAAGTCTGTTGTTTAAAGTCAACAAGACTTCATGAAGAGTCTTTGTATTTAAAAGTTGGTCGTTATTATATTTTTGAGGAATATTCTTCTAAGTGATACAGCACTCTTCTGTCAATTTGCTGTACTGAGGTAACCTGTGGTTGCTGTGATGCTGAGCCTTGTGCCACTGGGGAGTCAAATGCCATAACAGTTACCCATGGTGGACAGTGTTTGGTGGAGCTCCCAGTCTAAGACAAGTTTGGAAGCAGGAGTGGCATCCCCTCCCTAAACAACATGCCTCTGGAAACTCTGTGAACTTTGAGAAACGATGATAATTATGGAAAGGTTTCAGGTCTTTTTTTCATAGTGTCACTATGAGTCATGCTCGACTTGATGGTCAACAACAACTATAGATAGAGATATCTCAATAATTCATTCCTTTAGTATTCTATCTTACTGATGGAAGACAATTTGGGTTAACAGTTCACCAACTGAATAGCATAATAGGAGAAAGAGAAATTATATTGGGATAGGGTGGGATCCTAATCTAAATATAGTGGAGATTCATTGAGAGATGAAGGAGTGTGAGAGTGAACCATTCGGCATCTTTAATGTGAAGCATCTCAACTAAAAGTGCCGGCTAATTGGAAGTGAAGGCTCAGTAAAAGAAGAGGAAGACTTTCATCAAGGTTAACACAGTAGCTGCAATAAGAGGCGTAAACACCGTGTGACTGGAGTAAAAGAGAGAATGAGTTACAGGTGGCCAAGTTACATTGGGTCTAATGGATAATACAAACCAAACACCAGCTGCCATACAGTTTATTCTGATCTCGCTAGTGTTAGGGTAGAACCGAATGCCATGTGATTTTGTGTTTTATTTTTCAGACATACGCCTTTCTTCTTTTGTCTCCTCTTTGGCTTTCTTCAAGTTTTTCAGTTAGTATTATACCATACATCCAGGGAGGAGTTGCATGCACACTTGAGTTTTTACTCTGAAGATGTAAACCTGTGACGGGTGTTATGTAGTGAAGGGACTTACTAATTGGTTTTACATTTTTAAATGGCTGACTGTTGAGAATAGAGGGAGAAGGGAATGGGTAGAAGGAGGTGTTACAAGGAGGATCCTATTGCAATAATCTAAGTGAGGCATGTTGGTGTTTTGCACCATGTTGGGATGCATGTTTATTAAATTAACCTTTTATTCAAGTAGCTGCATTAATTACGGCTTCGTTGCAACTAACTACATCGCTTTCATCTGTCTGCAACAGATCTTTCCTATTAGCTTGCAGGCTGAAATGGGGATTTGAGGTTATTAAGGAGTCTGAACCTCAAGGACCTGAAAAATCTGCGTGAGTTTTAGGATTCCAGACGTGCAGGCTTCTGGCGCAGCTAAAATCTTGCAGCTGACGCCTCAGCTGCTTCTCAGCGACCATGCGCAACAGGCTGGAGTGTGGCCTCCAGAAAGCACGGTGTTTCCAAGAGCGGGAAAAGCGCATTCCGGAAGTCGTAGTTCTGCGTTTCTACGCAGGCGCAGCAGTTGCAGCGCGCGCACCTCTTGCTGGACCTTTTTAAGTCCATTGCGGTGGCGTTGTACCGGGCTGCGATTCTTCAAAGGTATTGATTGTTCCAACACCCTAGATTTGGGACTGTGCCTGGGTAGTTGCCCTAAAAACACGCGGGATGGAGAGGGCATAAAGGGATACAGATAGCGGACCTACTATTGCTCTGCACTCTCAATGATGCTACTACCTCTGTAGGAAGTAGGTACACTCCTGAATGAAGGAGCCATCCGCTTACAGGCATTATTCTCTGCTCGGTTTTTTTCTGTTTTGGCAGGAATGGTATTCTGCGCCAGATTACTCAGTGGTGTGTGTATGCATGTGATGGTGATGGTAATGAAGGTCGTCTGTCATTTGCCATCGGGGAGGGTGGGAGGGAGTGAGAGAGAGGGAGGTGGTTTCATATTTGCATGCATTGTGAGATGTTTAGCTGCATCCCTAACCTCTCTCTCCCTAGTCTAAGATGCTGATAACCCTTTCCTCTCCTTACCTCAAATCTTAACATCCAAAACATAGCAGCCGGTCCCTTATGGAGCAAAATAGTCGCCACTCCGCGCACCGGTTCGTGGAGAGTCTGCATCATGTTTTCACCAAGCCTGTATTGTAAAGTTCTTGGAGACAGAGATTAGTGCCATAGTCACCACTGTGTCCTTTTCAAGAGAGAAATAAGTGACGTCATGTGTGCTCTGTGCTTGGAGATGAATTGGCATGGGAACTGCAGTCAACTAAGAATATCAGTTTCACTTGCTGCATCCTACCCCATCTCAGGTGGGATTTTCATTTCTTGAGAGCTGAACCATTTGGGCGATTGAGTCAGTTTCTGCCCAGGCTATCTGACCTGTCGGTGTCTATCTCTCCAATATTTTGTAGGTGCTCAGCTGTTTACAGAATCGATGAATACATGTTAACACTGGGACAGGATCCCTGCAAATGAGTCCCGGGGTGATCAGGGCACATCTCTCTGAAGGCGTGACAAGTAAAAGTCACGTTTTATAGGTTGAGTACAAATTGGTAGTCAAAAGGGTGGCACTGGTGCAAAGGATGGAAAAGGATAGAGAGAACCTGAAAATAGTCTTTATGACTGCGGTATCAGTCTGTTAGGGTTCATTGAGCTCAGAGAAGTCGTGTTGGTGCAGTGGTTAGACTACCAGCTAACCAACAGATCAACCACTGGCAGGACAAAGAATGTAACATGACAGTCTGCTTCTGTAAAGGTTTATATTCTTGGAAACTGTGGTGCTTCTACAGTGTTCTATGGGGCCACTCTGAATCAGTCAACAGCAGAATTTAGAGTGGAGAGGGCTGAGATCATCACGGCTGAATCTGAACCATCATGTCCAATCCCTGTGCTTGCTCATTATCTTGCAAAGTAATGTAAGCAGGAGAGTACAGTATTAGGCATTTTAGAAGGGTATTTTAAGCCACAGAGTGAAGGCTGTTTTAGAAAGTGAGTTGCTTGCACTTAGGTAGTTTCAGAAGGGATGAAGTGAGGAGAGGTACTTAGGAAATCAAATCTCCGTGACTTGGTTTGTTGTGATGGTGGGAAAAGGAATGAGGAAGAGCGTCTTGGGTTTAGCAGGTGACTCCTGAGGTGAGTGACTGGTGTAAGATGTGATGGATACACCAGGGGAAGATAGTTATTAAATAGGCTTGTGATTGATTATATCCCTCTGTTACTGAATCTTTTCTGAACTTTTTTTTCTTCTTATGAGGCATAGTATTTAGTCTAAAGTAACTGTTTCCTTAGCTGATTTGTTATTTACTGCAACTCATTGCAACCCTATGAACAATGGCTCTGAGCTTTGCCCTATAGTCTCTTTGTTGTGTACCATTGAATCAGAGGCTGTAAATTGCATAGGAGGAGATTGCCTATCTTTTCTCTCTCAGAGTGACTAGTGGATTCGAACCTTGTGCCTTTGGATTGGCAGTACAATTCCAAAGTTGGTGACCACGAAGTCACCAGAGCTCCTTTCTATATTCTTACGTGCATTGGTGACATGAATTATGTTCAATTGAGTACATTTTGAATTTTGGTTTATGTTCAGCTGAGTATTTTTTATTCCTTTTAAGTAACTCCTTGTCTTTTGACCTGCACAGAAAACTCTTTTCAACATAGCAGTTATTAAGCAGAGCTATTTTAGCATTTGAGAGTTAGGTTTCTGTGAATATATGTGAACCAAACAAAATATTTTTAAAGGAAAAAAATAATTTATTAAAAGATACAACCCTTTATGCTTTAAGTTTTGGAAGTTGTTTATTGTTTATGTGCTGTCGAGTCGCTTGCGATTCATAGCGACCCTATGTACAACAGATGTAAACCCTGCTCTATCCTGTGCCAATCTCATTGCCTCTGATACACCCATCCCGATTACCCCAGTCACTGAATCAATCCACCTCATAGAGGGTCTTCCCCTCCTGTGCTGTCCCTCCACCCTGCCAAGCATGATGTCCCTCTCCAAGGACTTGTCTCTCCTTATAACATGTCCAAAGTATGTCAGACGAAGCCCCAGAATTCTTGCCTCCAAGGAGCAGCCTGGTTTAACCCTCTCCAGGATGAATCTGTTTGTTTTCTTGGCAGTCCATGGTACATTCAATACTCTTCTCCAGCACCACAGCTCAAAGGCATCAATTCTCCTGTCCTCTCTAGTCATTATCCAACCCTCTGATGCATAACAAGTGATTGCAAATGCCATGGCCGGTATCAGATGCACCTTAGTCTCCAGAGTGACACCATTGCTCTTTAATACTTTGGAGGGGTCCCTAACAGCAGACTTTACCATTGCAATATGTATTTTGATTTCCTGGCTGCTGTTGCCAAGAGTGTAGACTGTGGAAACAAGCAGACTAAAGTTGTTAACAATCTCAATCTCTTCGCCATGCGTCTGATGCTACCAATTGGTCCAGTGGTGAGAATCTTTGTCTTCTTGACATTGAGCCTCAATCCATATTGAAGGCTGTAGTCTTTGACCCTCTGCAGCAAATGCTTCAGGTCCTCCTCAGTTTCAGCAAGCAGGGTTGTGTCATCTACATAACGCAGATTGTTGATAGATCTTCCACCAATCCTCACGCCACACCTCTTCTCACAGAGCCCAGCCTCTTGGATAATCTGTTCTGCATACAGGTTGAAAAGATATGGAGATAGAACACATCCTTGGCGTACACCCTTCCCAATTTTGAACCATGCAGTGTTTCCTTGCTCTGTTCTGAAGACTGCCTCTTGGTCCAAGTGTAGGTTTCTCACTAGCACGATTAGGTGTTCTGGGATTCCCATTCTTCTCAGAGTCAGCCACAGCTTGTTATGATCCACACAGTTTTGGAAGAGAAAATAATTGACACAATCATATTAGGAATATATTTTACAAATGAAATTTTCGTAATCTATAGAAATATTAGAATAAATAATTTCATATTCTCCTTTCCCTATTTATAACCATTCTTTGTGTTGTACCAGTTTTTTACTTAAAAAAATTTTCCCTCTTCCTATATATTCATATTATATATATCAACAGACATGCATAGCATAGTGATGACACCTAATAATAATTATCCCCACACATATTCACACATAAGTATATATCCATGCGTTCTCATAGTTCAGGATCAGAGCAGATAATTAAAACAGTTTCTAAACTGATGAGGAATTAAATAATTTCCAAAAACTCAATCCACTGCAATACTTGGAGGAAAGAAATAAGCATTTAGCTTTTTTTTTATTCTTCCTTTACATTTCATTCACAAGCATAGCCAAAGCTGTTCCTTGAAATCAAAATAGTCAAACCTAAATAGACTATAATTAATTAGATCTTGTATTTTGACTCTATTAACATACATACCAGAGACTTGATCATCTGTTAATCCACTTTTTGCATATATAAAACTATATTTTGTTCAGAAATTAATTTTTTTAATTTTAATAAAAGTTTACAGAGACTTTGGATTTCCATTCATTTATTGTTGTACACTTTTCTCCCTGCCTACCTCTCCTCCCAGTTCCTTTTTCTCTTTGAAAAGTAAAAGAAAAAAAAATTCATTTTTATACAGTTCCCCCCGCCCACCCCCAGTCCACTTCACTATGCAGCTTTCATTCTGGACTTGTGTCATGACAATAATACCTAATCGTGTATTCCTCCTAAACAGTTTTCTCCCTCATCTCTTTCAATACAGTATACATTATTTATCCCCTCTTAGTTTCCTCCCACTCCAATGTCAGTCCCGCTTTACAACAGTGGCACCATACAGTATTTGTCCTTTTGTGACTGAGATATTTCACTCAGCATAATGTCTTCCAGGGTTACCCATTTTGTATAATATTTCATGAGTTCCTTGTTTTCAATGCTGCAAAGTATTCCATTGTGTAAATATATCACAGCTTCTGTATTCATTCATTTGTTGATGGGCACTTGGGTTGTTTCCAACTCTTTACTATTATGAACAGTAAAATAATATTTTTTAAGATTAATACAATTTGCTTTACTTATTCCATGTCTTCTATTTCTTGGCAGTTTCTGCAACATTGTAAACTGAAGTCTTGGAACCCTTGAATTAACTTGCTATTTTACTATTGTGGTGCCTGTTGCTGGACTGTACTGCTATTCAGTTAGAGTCTAGAAGGTGCTGCATTCCTATTGATAATACACCCGGCAGGAGTTTGTGTGTCTGAACAGATAGATGGCAGCTCCCTTCCCAGACCCTCACACTCTGGCTTCAAGTGAACAAAATAAAAACCTGAGAATGGATACTTCTGGAGATCAAGAAACTATCTCAAGAGGAGACACTGCTAACCTTGAGATTTCCCGACAGAGGTTCAGGTGGTTTCGTTACTCGAAAGAGACAGGGCCCAGAAAAACCCTAAATCAACTTTGGGATCTCTGTGCTCAGTGGCTAAGACCAGATATTCACACGAAAGAGCAGATTTTAGAGCTTTTGGTGTTTGAGCAGTTCCTGACTGTTTTACCTGGAGAGATCAGGAGTTGGGTAAAAGCTCAACATCCTGGGAGTAGTGAAGAAGTGGTGACCCTGATAGAGGATTTGACCCAGATGCTTGGAGCAAAAGAAGAGGAAGGTAAGATTTGTAGGTGAGGGGAAGAAATTCTCATGCATTATGTTTTATAAAATTAATAACCATTGGACCTTGACCGTTATTACCCTGCCTTTTCACTTGGATCCTTCTCATTTGCTTCCCCACCTCCCTCCATCCACCAAACAGTGCAACCCTGTGTATTTTTGTGTGACAATTTGTATTCTACCAAGGATTCTGAGGAAGATAAGGAGATAATATTACTACCACAGACTTACTTGCTGGTCACCCAGAAATTTGAGGTATCTGAAAATTCTGTTTTCCTGACTCTTCCATGACTCATGGGGAAAGTATGTTTGTTTGTTGTTTGTTTTTAAAAGAATCACTCTTTTTCTCTTTAACTCCATAATTCTAATTCCTAGTTTATACTGATTGCTTAGTCAAGGAAGTTATTTAAGACTTTTAAAAAAGATTTTTTTGTTCCTCTGTTAGTTCCGAACTTTTCTTCTAAAGTATTATAAAACATTTATGAAGATGTCTAGGTTTAAAGAATCTTTTTGAAAAGCTTGACTGGTTTCTTCGCACCCCACCCTGCTCCTAGATTCACTCTCTCAAAACTCTACCGTTTTGCAAAAGGAGAATGCAGATCAGAGGGCTGCTGCTCTTCCCAGGGCTGAGCCGTTGGTAAGTTTGTTTTTATAGATTCTTCCATCTTTAGTGATTACATATTGAGCTTTTTGTGACTTAAAAACACAAAAATAATCAAGTGTCCTTTTTAAGGAACTTTGTTATCTATACATGTGATTTTATTTTTCTTAACAAAATCAGGAAGATGGAAATAGAAGTCTACTTTCTTAACATGATAAAGAATATCTGTGACAAGCTGGCATTGGAAGATTGAAAATGAGCCTTCCAGTATCATTAAATATGTAAGGATGTCTAATTTTCTGTAAGTATATAAGGAAGCTACCAAAGATCTCATTCCACGAAGAGAGCAAGAAAATCACTAAAAAGACAGAGGAGAAATAAAAACCAAACTGGATCTCAGAAAAGACCTTGAAAATTGCACTAGCACTTCAAGAAGCCAAACAAAGGTAAGAGATGTTGAAGTAAGAGTTGAACATCAGATTTCAGTGGGCAGCTTGAGAAGACAAAGCAGAGTGTAATTACAGAATGTGCAGAGAGATCTAGAATTGAAGGGGGGTGGGGGAAGAAAGAACTCACTCAGCATTTCTCAAGCTGAAAGAACTGAATTTCAGGCCCTACACTGCAATGCTTAGAGATGCTATGGGTGAAATCTTGAATGATCTAGAAAGCATTGAAGAAGATGGAGGGAATACACAGAATCACTGTGCCAGAAAGAATTGGCCACTACTGAAATATTTCAGGATGTACCATATGATATTGGAAGGAGGCGTGGCATCCACTTCCATAATAGCTTGTCTCCAGAAGCCCTATGAACCTGGAGATAGGATGAAAGGCACCCAAGCATCGAAGACTCTCCTTCATAAGGTCGCTGTGAGTCACCTGCGACTCAATCGCACTTAACAACAACAACAACAACCATATGATCAAGAGCCAATGGTAAGTGAAGGAAGCAGTTCAAGCTTCCAGGAATTGATGGGATATCAATTGACATGTTTCAAATGACAGTTGTAGCCCTGGATGCACTCACCAGTCTATGCCAGAACAATTTGGATGACAGTTGTTTCTAAGAGGACAATCCAACAAAATGTGGAAATTACTGAGCATTATTATTAATATCCCTTGTAAGCAAAATACTGCAGCAGATTATTTTAAAGCAATTAGAATAGTACATAGAGAACTGCCAGACCTTCAAGGTGGATTTAGTAGAGACTCTAGCACCAGGGATATCATTGCTGATGTCAGGTGGATACTGGCTAAAAGTAAAGAATACCAGAAGAATTTCTATTTGTGTTTTAGTGACTATGCAAAAGGCATTTGACTGTATGGATCATAACAAATTATGACTAACATTGAGAGGAATGGGAATCCCAGAATGCTTAATTGTACTCATGTGAAACCTATACCTAAACCAAGAGACTTGTGCGAACAGAGCAAGGGAATATTGATTGGTTTGAAATTAGGAAAGGTGTGCATCAGGGTTGTATCCTTTTACCATACCTTTTCAATCTGTATGCTGAGCAAATTATTTGAGAAGCTGGGTTCTATAAAGGGGAATATGGCATCATGATTGGAAGAAGACTTATCAGTAACCTTCATTATGCAGATGACACAACCTTGCTTGCTGACAGTGAGAGGTTTTTTGAAGCACTTGCTGCAGAGGATCATAGACTACAGCTTTAATATGGCCAAAGTATGTGAGATGAAGCAGGGAGTATGTGAGATGAAGCAGAGAGAATTGGAATTGAGAATTGAAAGCAGACAGAAGAGGAATTGACGGCCTTGAGTTGTAGTGTTGGATAAGAGTACTGAATATCCCATGGACTGTTAAAAGAACAAACAGATATGTCTTGGAGAAGGTGCAGTCAGAGTGCTCCTTGAAAGCAAGGATGGTGAAGATATGTCTCATACTATGGACGGACAAATGGTTAGAAGAAGCTATTCGTTGGAAAGGGACATCATGCTTGGGAAGGTGGAGGGTAGCGAAAGATAGGAAGACCTTCAGCCAGGTGGATTGACATGGTAGTAGCAATGGGCTAAAGTATGTCAGAGATTGTGAGGATGGTACAAGATAGGACAGGGTTCAGATCTCTTATTCTGGGGTCACTACAAGTTGTACTCGACTCAGTGACCTCTAACAACAACAATCCAACTACTGTTAATCCATGTTTTTTTACTGTCCTAGCCTGTTAGCCAATTAGCCAGAAAGATAAGAAAAATACAAGTTTTGTTTGAAAGAAACCAGTGTATGTTAATTGCTGTTTGGAACTGCTCAAATACCGAACAAGTACTGAAATTCATACAATAACTGAGAAAAGCAGCTAATCATATATGTTGTTTTTGTTATTAAGTGCTGTAGAGTTGTAGATGACACATAGCATCCCTATGAACAAAAGTCTTCAACACAAAACTGTCATCTTTTCTCCAAGTTCATAGAGTTTCTGGAGGCAAGCTTTTTTTTTTCTTTTCTTTTTTTTTTAAAGTGGCTGCCACTCCTACTTCAAGCCAGTTTTATTTGGGATCTACAAAAAACAAAGCCATTTTAAAGGCAAGGCCAAATCCTATAATCTCACATCCTATTGTGTGCAAGAGCCACCCCCTAATCTCAACCCCACACCAGAAAACCCACCTTTGCAGAATCCCACCGTTCTGCTCATTTTCCCAGCCTGGAAATAGCCCCAGATAGAAGGCAATGAATTTCCTACAGGCTAAAAATCACCAAGTTGGGGGTGGGGATGGGGGTGAAATTCATTCATAATAGCAGTGCTGAATTAGGCTAGTATTGGCCCTCAAAAATATATCCATGTCCTAATTCCTGCAGCCTATAAGTGTTACCTTAGTTAGAAAAAGACTTTCTGCACATATGGTTAAGTTGAAGATTTTGTGATGGGATTATCTAAGATTATCAATATGATCCCTAAAGGCTACCAGAGATGCTCTTACATGAGTCCTGCCTGGGGATATTGGGCACATTCACAGAAGAGGTGGCCACGTGAAGAGAGAGATTGGAGTGATAGTTATTGTTGTATTCTGTCAAATTGGAACTGACCCAATGCTGAAACTCTGACTGGTTTTTGGAAGCAGTTAATCACATGGGAGGAGACTGCCCATTCTTTTCCAGTGAAGCAGCTGGTGGATTTGAACTGTACACCTTTGGGATTGTAGCACAGCTTCTTGCCATTAAGCCCCCAGAACTCCATGATAGAGTCACAAGCCAAGGAATGCTAACAGTTACCAGAAGGCGGAGGAGTCAAGAGATGTACTTCTCTTTGGAGCTTCTGAAGGGAAGACAACTCTGTTGAGACCTTAATTGTTGATTTTTGGTTTCTGGAACTATTAAAGACTAGACCTCTGTTTTAAGCCACAATGTTTGTGGTAACTTATCAGCCACAGGAAGCTGACAACAAATGCCAGTAGGCATCCTGACTACTGAAGATGCCATGGAGAGGATGCTCTAAAAATTTTATTTAATGAATCAGTATTTGTGCTTATAAAAATTCCAAGTGTGAGGATTCTAGTGAACCTCAGTTGAATGTGGTAGAAATTATTACTATATTGAATCAAATGGAATATGAATTTGGAGAGTAGCTGCTGATAATACCTGATATAGTATTGAGTTGATTCCAGTTCATAGTAACCTTATAGTATTAGAACTGCCCTGTAAGATTTCCAGTGCTGTTAATCTTCATGGGAGCAGACTGCAACCTCTTCCATGAAGTGGTTAGTGAGTTTGAACTGCTAAATTTTTGGTTAGAAATCAAGTGTTTTAACCACTCTGCAAACAGAACTCTTACGTCTCTTATTTTTTACATGATTAACCTACTTTAATTGTGTGAATGTAGGTTATGTGAATGTCAGTTGTAACCTTTGTTTAATATTTTGCTTTTCATTCTAGAAATCAATGTGAAATTTGATCAATTAGTCATTTCAAACAATACTTATACAGTGTTTCATATGAAAGAAGCAGGGATTAAATCATCCTTGTGTTTTGTATCATTTGTAACATAGATATCACCTGTCATATAAGTTTCTCTTAGTTGCTGTGCAATTCTTGACAGAAAAAAATGGAATGCTATTGAAGCCATCACTTTGTATACTGACTACATTTTTGGCTTCTCAGGGGTCTGTTTGGGGATGTTCAAGTACAAAAAAAGACTTATGTTTGGTGTTCTAGGAATCCATCACGTTCAAGGATGTGGCCATGACCTTTTCCAGAGGAGAATGGAAGAGTCTGGAGCCCTCACAGAAGGGGCTATTTGTGGAAGTGCTACTGCAAAACTTCAGGAACCTCGAGTCTCTGGGTAAGACCTCTTTTCATGACCTCGCATCAGAGATGGCTGTGTTTTTGTCCCATTTTTGAAAGATAAATTCTGTGTGAAGGACTTTAACTTGTCTTGACTGGGCATGCAGTGACTAAGATTGTTGTTGTCTGCTGCTGCTGAGTGGTAACTGATTCTAAGTTGACCATCCTGAGGGTTTCCAGAGGCTGTAAATCACACGACATTGCCCGTATTTCTCCTGAGGAGCAGCTGGTGGATTTAAACTGTGTGTCTTTGTGTTGTCAGCACAATTCCTTATTTACTGTACCACCAGAACTCCCAAAGATTTAGAATCTTAAAAATGTACTTCTCTGTATCAGTTCCCTCAAAGAACAGTCTTTACTTCCTTGAACTAGAAATATAAAGCGTCATTTTGTCATGAGTCCTATGCTTTCCCCTATTTCTTCCTTAGATTTCAAGTATTGATGCCTCAGTACTTGCGAGTATATTCCGTCTTCCTGAAGGACAGGAAGCTATGTATGAATAAGTGATGAATGTCTTGTTCTATACATAAACCACCATTTTCCATTTTGTCTTAATGAACAGGTTTTCTAGTTTCTAAAGTAGACTTAATTTCCCACCTAAAATGGGTTTTAATGCCATGGCTGTTGAAGAAAGAATTCTCCAAAGGCTCCAGAACAGGTAAGTTGGTGCAAAGTAGACAGGGAAAGTAGAACAGTTACTCCTCAGATTCACTGGAAGGAATCTTTGAAATGAGTGAGTTAAAATATAAAGATGATAAGAATATAGCCCTTCTTTGTAAGACGCTTACTTTGATAGGAAAGACCTCATTAGTTGGGATCTTGTGAGAGTTAGATGTGAAGAAATTATTTGGCCATGTAAGAGATTTATTGGGGAAAATTGCACAGTTTAAAAACAGTTTAAAAAATTGCACAGAGAGCTGTCAGAGTGTGATACAGCTGTGACTCTTGCAAACGAGAGAAGGAAGGAAAATTGAGAAGAGCCTTGGACTTCAATGGAGTTCTAAGAACACGTCCTTTGTTGTCCATTTCCGTCAAGTTGGAACCAGCTCATAGCAGACCCTCCAGCAGGTTTTCAAAAGCTGTAAGCCACCTGAGATGAGATTGCTTATCTTTTTCTCACAGGGCAGCTGGTAGATTAGAACTACATACCTTTGAGTTGGCAATGCATATCTATAAACACTAGGTCACAAAAGCTCCCCAAGAGTACTTTGGCAAGATCAAAATGGAACCCTGTTTTGCAGAAAAGGGCTTCAGTGTGTCTGCCACACTCATACACATATCTCTGTCATCAACTGGGAGTGATCCATTGTGTAAATAACAGGGGCCTTGATCTGAAGGCATTGATGGATCTATATTCCGGTAGCAAGGGCTGCCAGTTGAGCTCTGGGTAAGAGGATATCCAAAAGCACATTTTCATGGTTACCACAGAGACATGCCAAACCAAAGATGTTAGTAATGGGATTACTGTTAAATAATGGCATGTGGAAAGAGCTATGGGAGTATAAAGGAGCAGGGGCTTAATTAACATTTGACCTGACTCTTGAAAGATAGTAGGGCTTCCATCAATGGACAATATGTATGGCAAAATCCTCACCTAATTTTGATATTTTTGTTAAAGGGAAATTGTGTATATGTCTAAATGCACCAATGTACATGGACTTTTTTCAGCTTTTATTCATATCTATTAATATTGTTTTGAATTAGCAAGTCAATACTACCTCATAGCTGACCCTCCAGCAGGTTTTCAGAGGAAGTAAATCCCATGGGAGGTTATTCTCCAATAGAACAGTTGGTGGATTTGAACCGTGTGCCTTTAAGTTGGCAGCATTATTTCTTACCACTAGGCTACCATAGCTTGATATATTATTTTTTGTTTTTTTTCTTTCCTTTTTTTATTTTATTCTGATGCATAGTGGAATGTACTTGGGGCGGTGGGAGGGGTGCGGGGGGATTGTGTACCAGGGAGGGAGTCTTTCTTTTACTTTTGAAAGAGAGGAGCGAACTGGGGGGCGGGGGGAAAGGGCTGGGTGGGTAGAGAAGTGCAGCAATGAATGAATGGAAATCCAAATTCTCTGTAAATGTTCATTAAAATTATTTTTAAAAATTTGAATACATTACTTTTCACTGTATATGAATTTTTATATCTGGGAAACATGTTAATCTTTCAAAAGTAATAGATCTGAGAGAGCTTTGTGGAAATTGTGGGACTTGCACTCTATTATTGGTTATTATTAAGTCACTTCTATCTCCATGACTCTTATCTTTGCAAAGTAGGGTTTTCACTTGAACTTGCAAACCTACTGCTGTTGAGCTGGTTTTTATTCACCTGTTCCTATAGGACATAGTAGAATTGTCTCATAGGGTTTCCAGGGCTGTAAATTTTTGCAGGAGCAAATGGTCTCATCTTTTGCTCATAGAGTAGCAAGTGGATTTGAATTGCTGACCTTTTAGTTAATGACTCATTACCAAACTCCTTACTTGAACCCTAGGCCCTGTCACATTTTCTGCTTATGATTGATAAGGGTGCTGCTGTAACATTATAGTGAACCCGTTGCCGCAAATGATGGCAAATGTGTTTCTAAGCACGGTCATCAATTTGAAAAGTGTGTGGCAACGTGTTAATAAGAATAATGTCAAAAAAGAATTAAAAATGCTACATAGTAGAAGGGAGAGTAGATAGATGCCTGATTAGTTTTAATTATAAGGTTGTATAGTTAAGGTGGTGGTGGTGCTGGTTGTATTACATCAAATTGGAACTGACCCATAGCTGACCCTCCAACAGGTTTTTCAGAGGCAGTATTACCCAGGAGGTGATTGCCTATCTTTTTTCTGTGTAGCAGCTGGTGGATTCGAACCACATGCTTAGGGATTGTAGCACAGCTTCTTACAGCTAGACCACCAGAGTTCCCTATTCGGATGTAGGACTGGATTATGTAGACTTTTGAAATTCTAGTATTATTGGTATAGCATTGGTCTGTGCATTGCTCTACAGAGGTTACTCGTGGTTGCTGTGATGCTAAACACTGTGACACTGATGTGCCAAATGCGATAATAGTAAAAAATAAGGCCCCAGGAATAGATGGTATACCAGTTGAAGTATTTCAGATAACAGATGTTGCCCTGGATGTGCTCACCAAGTTGTGCCAAGAAATCTGGAGAACAACCACTCGGCCAACTGACTGGAAGAGATC